CCTGCCACAGGCTCCTAACCAGCAACACAGGGGCACAATAGAAAAGCTTTAAAGTGAAGTTCCAGAGAAATCCACCTTTAACTTTAAAGTATTTACATGTAAATCTGATGCTTACTGTTGTAGTTTCTGGATACCTCACATCGTTGTTATGCTTTGCCAACAGTTTTAAAAGTATAAAAAAATTTTCAATATAGCAAATAACTGCAACTGTATTAAAGAGTATTCTTAGCTTTTTTGCAAGAAATCAAACTAAATGGAATAAAGAAATCAAACCAAGGTTTGATTTCTTTATTCCATTTATCACTCTTACCTGAGGGGGATGCCTCGAATAAAGTCTGACCTTCGATTTTCATTTCATCCCTCCTCGACAGCTCTTCAAAAAGAAATGGTTCTCATATTACTATTAAGGCATACCATGTCTGCAGATGTCGTTTGAGGCCCAGTGGAGATAAGAGGCTGCAGGAGGTCCTGAACATCGTAGGGTCTGAACCTAGTCACCGACTTCTGCTGACAGAAATTCTTAATGATATTTGTTGCCTTGCTGAGGGGACTGATGGCTGGATCACTGAAAACCAGACAAAGATGCGGCCTTAGTGCAATTTATACTAATAAATAATGCTACTATAGTAAAACAACAAATGAGTTAGTATAATGTGAAAGGAGTCACTTGTACTGACAAAGAATGACTCCAATGACAGAGAGATACAGTAACTCCACAGTCATCCTCCTTTAAGGATCTTTCTGCTTATCATTTTGGTTTTATGGCCCACAAATCAAATTTACAGTTTTGGTTCTGTCAAATTGCTGCCAACAACTTAATTTCCAGCCACAGCCATTTTCATTAAACGAGCTCTAAAACATGCTACCTGCTCAGCAGCAAAGAAGAGACAGACAAAGGATAGATAGATGTGTTTCTGTAATGTACACTGAGACTTCTGTAAGTGCTATAAATATAAATTGTGCTTACTGCACATCACATTCAAGCATTTTTTTTTATTTGATCCATTTTCTGGTACTTGCTGTGCAACTTTCCAACATTCAAAAAAGTTGATCTGTTGCTTTACACAGTGACTAGACTAGTCCTATAGAAGTCACTATGACTAGACACATGCATACAGTATGTAGCTGGGACACAGCGTTTCAGTGCTTCATCCAGAACTAAACAGGCAGAGATAAGCACCAACAGGAGGGAACTTGGTGAAAAACCTTTCCCACTGGTTTCATTTGAGAGTTTGGTGTCCTAACTTCTAAATACTGCTTCAGGGTAAGAAAACAGTTTGCCTCAAACACTTGGACACTCTCTTTGGATGTCTGGATAAAGGCTCTCAGTGTGTTGTTATCTGCATTAAGGGATGGACGTCTGTACCCCGTTGCAGTAGGATGCAGCTGGAGTGGTTTGTCATAGCACACTCTGTAGAGCTGAGGAACCTCCATCATCCATGCTATCTGGACCGCCATCACTGGGTCGTTCACTTTATCTGGGACCACACACAAACATGTATGTGATCAGTGGGCTGAGAGGAAAGATGGCATGTCCTCTCAAAAAAGTATGCTCTGTGTGTGTGTGTGAAAGAGAGACACATATAGGAACCATGAAATAAGACTGCAGTGCTAGGATAAAGAAGGTCTTAGGCACATCAAGGGTGTGCAGGTGTGTGAATTAGTGCATGTTCCTGTTCAGAGGTTAACAGCCATCAGTTAAATGTCTTCATTTTTAGAATGGATCAGACTGGTAAAACAGTAGAGTAGAGGGTGAATTTTGAGATCCACTTGCCATACTGGCCTGCAGATAAAACAGGGAGCTGGAAGAGAACCACTCACAGTAGGTGGAGGCCTTGATTTCCCTCTGTTGCCGTGCTGTCTTCACAGGCCCTCGGACTCGGAGCAGCTCTCCGATCTCCACATGGCAGCGGTTCTGCTGGGATTGTCTCAGTTTCTTCAGCTCAGTGACTGGATTAAAGCCTCTCAGAGCCCCATCACTGGTTTGTCCCTTTGCTGGACATGACAAAATAATAAAGAATGATAGTGTGATAATTACTATAACTCCAAATCAGAAAGAGTTGGGAAGGTATGGAAAATCAAAATTAAAACAAAAATAGTGATGTGTAAACCATCTGTGTCCTGTATGACATTGAAATCAATACATCAGCACATTGTTTGATGTGATAACTCATGAATTTTATTTTTTGTTCAAAATAAACACTCACTTCAATTCTGATGCCTGCAACAAATTCCAACAAAAGTTGGGACAATAAAGCATTTACTACATTGTGATGTTGCCGTTCCTTCTCACAACACTTAAAAGACGTTTAGCCACTGAGGACACCAAGTTATTTAATGTGTCAGGTGTCATTTTGTCCCATTCTTCCTGCAAACAAGTCTTAAGGTGCACAACAGTCCTGGGTCTTCATTAACACAATTTGCATTTCAAAATGTGCCACACATTCTCTACTAGGGACATTTTGGGACTGTAGGCAGACCAGTCCAGCACTCACACCCTTTTCCTCCACAGCCAGACCTTGGTAATGTACAGTATAAGGTTTTGTATTGTCTTGTTGAAAGATG